GAAGTTAGTACAAGTAGTATATGTTCAAATATATCTTTTAACTATTTGAAATTGAACGCTTACACTTCTAGAATTTATGGTGCTTGAACACATGATCTCAAGAAATAATAACAATTCATTTCTCACCGAGATTTATGGTTATGGTTTTAAAATTTATATAATAATTCAAGTAATAATTATGATTTTCATTTAGGTTAGTACTATGTACAAGATATAACCAAGGGTGAATTTAAATAAAATTACCTATTGAACCAATTTAAATATAATAAAAAATTATCTAATAATATATATTTATGTTTAATTTAAATATATATATAATCTGAATTTAAAAAAATATCAACTAAATAGATATAACTTTTAAAATAATTTATATATATATTTGTTTAAATTATATTCCATTTTCTTTTTAACATAAATGAGTCATCACCTACTTCATTCCCATTATAGAAGAGCACGACATCACACCTATTATGAGGGCTTCCTCGCCCATATAGGGCGTTGGAATTTTTTTCCTCATATAGGGTTCTACTTAAATTATTTCTTGAAATTGGGTGTTTGTTACAATGACCTCATTGGTCGTTAAGTGCTCCATAGGTCACCAAGTGCTCCTTGCGATAAAGTCTCCTCTGTTGCAATATTTCTTCTCTATTCCCTCGCTGTTGTAGTTCCATAGGTCGTCAAGTGCTCTATAAATCGTCATGTGCTCCTAGAGACCTATGGAGGTCGCCATGTGCTCCTGGAGACATATGGTGATCACTGTAGTAATCACCTTATTTAAGCAAATAATTGTTTGACTGCACTATATGAAGAATTTTTTTTCATTGCATTATTTAAACACTTTGGCCTATTATGAGTTAGGTAATGCACGTTTGTCAGACTCCTTTACTATTACATTATTCATCCATAATCTCATCTTACCTTACACTTGATGCAGAAACAGAATATCTTTACATTGCTGAACCACCTCATTATTGATTTAAATTTTATTATTATCTTATGTTCGATTCTGATTTATGATTCTCGATAAATTTTTAGTAATTTGATCTTTTGTTATAGTTCGTTTATCAATATAATCAGATCTATTTACATCTATATTTTGTTTGAGTTTTTTTGAATGAATTTTTAACATTTTTCTTATATGATTTTAAGTTACTAGTTTCTTGTGCCAACGGTTATAAAAATGTCCTAATTATGTATTTAATTTACTCTTATAATTGTAAATATTATTTGTAATTTTAATTTTTTTCTCATTTTTAATAAAACTAGTGATTTCTATTTGTGCCAAAAAATTTATTTTTCTATAATAAAATAAATATTTAATATTTTATTAATTTTTAAATTTGTTTATAGTTTCTTTCGAGGTCAGTTTTAAGGTTTTAAGAAACTTGAATCATTTTTTTGGTAAATGGTCAATTGATGATAATGATGTAACATAACAACTCATTTCACGAAATATCGTTGACATAAATTTTATTAATATTATATTGTTATTTAAAAATTATAAAATTTATTTGAAAATCATAAAAATTATATTTAAAACAAAAAAGATTTAAACATTTTTCAAAAAATTCAAACAAAATATTTTGAAAAAAGAATCATTTACATTTTTAAGGTGGTTGGTCGCACGTTCGCACGTTATGTAAATTTAACAAAGTCAAATGTAAACTTAAAAAGAAAGTAAAGCAAAACAATGAAATCTCTTCAGCAAACTCAAGTAATATATATTATGAAATTATATTCATAAATTTAAATTTAAATTTAAATTACAATATAATTGAGAGACTAGGATTGGATAGTTACGTATCAAGTTTCTTCAATTTGAGCTTCACGCCTCAATCTACAAGAAGAGTGTAATGACAACGGCAATCAGTGTGCTACTTATGGCTTCCTTGCTTGGTTCATCCTGTGCTTGTCGTTTTCCAGCAGTTTACAACTTGGGGGATTCGAACTCAGACACAGGAAGTGACTCCGCCACATTTGGTCGGGTTCCACCCCCTTACGGTGAAACCTTTTTCCGTAAACCGGCTGGTCGATATTCCGATGGGCGTCTGATCATTGATTTTATAGGTAAGGGTCTTTCTGTTACGTCACACATCTGGTTCATTTTTACATGCAGACATACATGAGCTGATACATGCAAATTTGTGCAGCTAATAAGTTGAAATTGCCATCATTCTTGAGTGCATACCTTGATGCAATCGATTCGAACTTCAGACACGGAGTGAGTTTTGCTGTATATGGATCAACGATTCAACCAGCCGTTGGTAAACTAATTGATGCAGGTTTTAGCCCCGTATCTCTCGATGTGCAGCTGCTTCAGTTTCAACAATTTAAAGAACGCGCCAATGAGCTTTATAATCAAGGTTAGATACCAATTTCTGGTGTGAAGGTTTATTATTATTTCATTGATTTATGGCAAAGGCTACTATTGTGCTTCCCTGTATTTCAGGAAGGAATACATACAGGCTTCCCAAACCGGAGGAGTTTTCAAAGGCCCTTTACATGTTAGATATTGGGCAGAATGATCTCACTTATGCCGTTTTAACGACTTCGGTCGAGCAGGTGAAGGCATCCATTCCCAATCTGATCAACCAGTTTTCAGCTGCGATAGAGGTATTTTTTTATATCTGCTACGATTTAGATGAACCTGAGTTGAAAAGACAAGATTTAGTGGCATACATTTTGCTGTTTTTCTTCTGTATTTTCAGAAGCTATTTCAACAAGGAGCAAGATTCTTTTGGATACATAATACCGGTCCCCTCGGCTGCTTGCCGGTTTCCGTTCTACTTGTCCCTCCAAAACCCGGGAATACTGATCAAGCCGGCTGCGTTAAGTCTTATAATGAGTTGTCTCAAGAATTCAACAAGCAGCTTAAAGACAGGGTGTCTCAACTTAGGGCCAAGCTCCATGGTGCAAGGCTGATATACGTGGATATGTACTCCGCTAAATATACTCTAATCTGTGAAGCACATAAATACGGTATGTTTAAAAATATTTTCCCACAGTTTTCAAGCTTCACTGATTCGAATCTCCATTGATGATGACCATATTCAACTCGGGGTTGCAGGCTTTATTGATCCTTTAAAAAACTGTTGCGGGCACTTCGGCGATTATACTGTCCAATGCGGGAAGACAGCAATGGTGAATGGTACCGAAACTTTCGGGGCAGCTTGCAGTGATCCTTCAAAACGTATTAGTTGGGATGGCATTCATTATACCGATGCTGCAAACCAGTGGGTAGCCAAGAGGATCATGGATGGCTCTTTCTCAGATCCCCCGGTTCCTATTACCGATGCTTGTGTATAAACTCGCATATTATGTCATGTGTTAATAAATTGAGCTCAATTAAGCTCCTACACTCAATAAAGAATGAGTCCGATCCTCATGTTTATAAACAAAGCTGGCCATTTTCTCCCCATGTTTTTAAGCCATAATACGATGATTCAATCATATACATCTACAGGCAAAAAATGCGTACGAATATGATTAAAATTTTTAAGTCAAAATGTCAAGTTTTTTTTTCTTAATTAATTTTTTAAAGAAAGTTATTACCCAAATGTGTTTATATTACATTAAGTTGATACCCTCAAAATATAAATTTTATATATTTTACTTAAGTTGACATAAAGATAAATCAAAATTATGTAAAAAAAAATTGATGTTAGTCATCTCACATGTTAGTTTTTTTAAGTTTGAGGTAATTATAAGATATTATTTATTCAGAAATTTTATTAGTCAATTAATAATAAATATACACATATATTGCAGACACGGTTGTTCGGACTCGAAATTTTTAGGAAGAGCACCCCCTTCTATTATTGAAATCACTTAATGGATTCAACAAAACATGAGTTTATGACTATAATTATTTATCATTTAAAAATATCCTCAAAATAAAGATAGATTAAGGATATATTTTACCTCCGCCAACCATGCTGATTATTTCAGAATTCACATGCAAAGCTGTGTTCCCCCCCCCCCTTTTTAAAGAAAAGTCAACTGATAGATAATGAAATAATTATTTCAGCTTCACATTAAAACTATCCATTCTTTGAATTTTCTTTTTAATGTTTGAAGGAACAATATGATCATGCAATATGTATCTTTAAGCGAAAGAGACGATTTCAAATGGGATTAAAATTTTAAGGTTGTGCATGAAAAGCTGAACCTCAGCGATGATGGTGGAGCATGTTCATAAGAGCTCAAGGGGGATAATGGTCAAATTTTATTTATTTCCTTACTTGCTGGAGCAATCTACGAGCTCTACTAAATTTCCTCTTTGCAATATGATCATGCAATATGTATCTTTAAGCGAAAGAGACGATTTCAAATGGGATTAAAATTTTAAGGTTGTGCATGAAAAGCTGAACCTCAGCGATGATGGTGGAGCATGTTCATAAGAGCTCAAGGGGGATAATGGTCAAATTTTATTTTAATTTCCTTACTTGCTGGAGCAATCTACGAGCTCTACTAAATTTCCTCTTTGCTTTAATCCCAACTGGCATTCTTCAATATTTATACAGTAATACAAAAAATAGTCAACAACTACTCTCTTAAATTCTGCAACATATTTCTTGATTTTTTAGCTTGAAATAAGCTTTATCGCAAATCCAGTGACTGTAATCATTTCTGTCAACAACATTCATTACAAAAAACTATTTGAATAAAATCACACAAAATATGCAACAAGTGTCACAACAAAAGTGCCATCACTCCTCCTTGACATTGTTGCTGCTACATACTCCCAGGCTTTCTCTTAACTTCTCAAATTTTATTCTTGACAGCCCTTTAGTAAATATATCAGCTACTTATCTGCAATGCTTCATTTGAACTTGACCTTTCTTCTCAACTTCTCTAAGGAAGTGATATTTAATGTTAATAAGTTTAGTCTTTTCATGAAAGATTAGATTTTTTGCAATGGCAACGGCAAATTTATTATCACATAACACTTCAGTAGCATTCACCTGTTCATGCTTTAAATCAAGCAGCAACTTCCTCAACTAAATGCATTGGTCAACAGCATGCGCAGTAGCTACATATTTTGGTTCTGCTGTGGATTGTGCCACAATCACCTGCTTCTTGGAACTCCAACATATCATGCCTGAACCAATAGAGAAACAATAACCAGAAGTGCTTCACATGTCATCAGATGAACCTGCCCAATCACTATCAGTAAATCCCACCAGCTTTATATCTGCATTTCTTGCATATAAAACACCAAAATCTGTTGTTCCCTTTACAAATCTCAATACCCTTTTTGTAGCTCTATAATGCACTTCACTTGGACTGTGCATGAACCTGGAGAGTAAACTTGTCACATACATAATATCAGGTATGGTAACAGACAAATATAACAAGCACCCAATAAGACTCCTGTATTGACCTGCATCAGTCTTTCTTGCTTGATCATTTTTGCTGAGCTTTTCACCTTGCACAGCTGGAGTATTCACTATCTTGCAATTCTCCATTCTAAATTTCTTTAGAACTTCAATTGCATATTTCCTTTGGCATATGAAAATTCCTTATTGAAGCTGAAGAATTTCCATACAAAAAAAATGACATTTTTCCCAAATCATTCATTTCAAAACTTTTTTCATCTCTTCCTTAAATTGACGAATCAACAATTGATTGCTACCAGTAACCAACAAATCATCAACATACAAAGTAGCAACAATTATCTCACCTTTTGCTTCTTTCACATAAAGAGTTTCTTCCATACAGCTTTTGACAAATCTCAGCCTTGTCAAAAACTCGTCAATTCTACTGTACCAGGCTTCAGGAGCCTGTTTTAAACCATACAATGCCTTTTTGAGAAGATACAACTTATCATCACAACCTTCCTCCACAAATCCCTCAGGTTGTTCAATAAAAATCTCCTCTTATAGATATATCCATTCAAGAAGGCTGATTTTACATCTAGTTAGTATATTTCCCAAGATTTATGAGCAACCAAAGCAATCAATAATCTGATGGTATCAAATTTGGTCACAGGTGCAAATGTCTCCGTAAAATTAACACCAAACTCTTGGGAATACCCTTTCACTACAAGTTTTGTCTTATGCTTATTGACAGAGACATCTAAATTCAACTTAACTTTATACACCCATTTACTCCAATCACCTTCTTGTTCTTTGGTCTGTCCACCAATTCCCAAGTGTTATATATTATTGGATATCATCCTCATTTCTTCCTTCATAGCTTCTTGACATTCAATAAATTTTGCTGCCTCTTGAAAAACTAGTAGGTTTCAAAATGGCAACATTACATCTGTTGAGAATATCATTCAACATCCTTGTGCCTTTAACTCCAATCTCTTTATCTGAATCAATGTCAACTTCTAAGGTAGTTGCATCTTGATTTTGTGAAAAACTAACATTTATGATCTACTTAGAATGTTCAACCAAGGACTTGTTCCAATTCCAAATGGAATCCTCATCAAACTTCAAATTTCTGCTAACAACGATTTTTTGTGTCTTCACATCAAATACTCTATATCCTTTTGAGTTGGAACTATATCCCACAAAAACACCAATGGTTGCACTTTCATCCAAGTTGTCGCTTTCACTTTTGAAACATGTACATAACATACACAACCGAAGACTTTAAGATGACCAATTGAAGGTTTAGCATCAAACCAAACTTCAAATGGCGTCTTTCCTTCTAAGGCTTTAGTGGGGAGCCTATTTAATAAATATACAGCGGTGTTGACAGCCTCTGTCCAGAAAACATTTGGCATCATTTTCTCAAACATCAAACATCTGGCCATGTTCAAGACATATCTATTTTTCCTCTCGCTAACACTATTCTGTTATGGCATGTAGACAACAGTCAATTGGTGGTGAATGCCAGCTTGTTGAAGATAGATTGTAAATTGATGCGATGTGTATTCACTGCTATTATCAGACCTTAGAGTTTTGATTTTCTTTTCACATTGATTTTCAGAATTTGTTTTGAACCTTTGAAAAGCATCAAACACTTCACTTTTTTGTTTTAAGAAAAAAATCCAGCACCATTTGTTGTAATCATCAATGAATATTAAAATAATATTTGCTCCCATTTAGTGAAGATATGCGCATTGGACCACATAAATCAGTGTGTACAAGTTGAAGCTTTTCTGAAGCTCTCCAAGCTTGATTTACAGGAAATGGAAGCTCAGCTTGCTTCCCCTTTTGACACACTTCACACACAATAGTATTTCGACACACATGAGGCATATCTTTTACTAAACCCTTGCTGGACATATATTTTAAAGATGAATAATTGAAGTGACCCAACCTCGTATGTCATAAACTTGATTGGTAAATAATAGAAGTGAAAGACTGCACTTCAGTTTGCTCACATTTGATTGGGAAATTTCTCTCAATCATCTTAATAGTTAACATCTTCATATCACTTTTTATCATACACATCATAAACTCTATCATGGAAATGCAAGTTGTAATTTTTTTTCAAGTAACTAACCAACACTAAGAAGATTTTGACTAATTTCAGGCACAAATAAAACATCTAAAATAATATTTGTACCTAAAGAAGTCTGAACAACTGCATCTCTTTTACCTTTTACCTCGAAAAAGCTATCATCGCCTATTTTCACCCTTCATTTGTAACTTTTTTCCAACACTTTTAACAAGTCTACATGAGGAGTCATGTGATGAGTGCATCCACTATCAAGCAGCCAAGCCTCAAGTTTGTTTACTGCAACACAATACTCTTCATGTTGAAGTGCCATGAATGCAATTTCCTCCTCCAATTTGAGGTTTTCAGCAACTTGAACTGGTTGAGGTTGTTGCTCAGTTTTGACCTTGCATACTTTTTCAAAATGGCCAAATTGTTTACATGATCTACATTGAACAGTAGGTCTGAACCAACAATAGTTCTCTGAATGGCCTTTCTTGTTACAATGTGAACAAGTATGAAACTTGTTTTTTTTTTGTCCTTGTTCTTATTCGCATGGTCACCCTTCTCTTTGTCTTTCCTTTCTCCTGATGGCTTCTTTCCTCCAGAAATTACTTGAGTCTACCCTCTTTGTTTTGCCAAAAAACAACCTCATTTGGTTCTTCAAGTCTATAAGCTTTTCTTTGCTCCACAACTTGTAGATAGCTAACTAATTCAGCTAGGGACAACTGAGATATATCTTTTGAATATTCCAAGGAGAAAATTTTAGATTCGAACTTTTCTGGCAAACTAACCAGCACCTTCTCAACAACTCTTTTCTCTGGGAGATCATCACCAAACAATCTAATTTGGTTCACTATCTTCATAAGTCGGTCTGCATTTTCTTTAACAGATTCTGACTCTTTCATTCTAAGCATCTCATATTCTCTCCTTAGATTGAGAACTTGCATCTTCTATGTCTTCTCACTCCCTTGAAATTCATCTTTTAATCTATCCCATGCTTCTTTTCCAGTTTCACACGCCATTATACGGGTGAATATTGTTTCTGTGACAGCAGCATGTATAATAGATAAAGCTTTAAATTTCTTGGCACACTCTTCTACATGATGCTTCATCTGTGTCTATGTAGGATTATTTCTTAATGGTGGAGGATCATTTCCTGTCTCAACAACATCCCAGAGATCTGAACCTATTAAATATGCCTTCATTTTGACAGCCTACAACTGATAATTTTGGCCATCAAACAAAGGAGGAGCACCAACTCCAAAGCTACTGAAAGACATAACAAATGATTGTGAAGTGTTAGGAAAATAAACCCAGTACAAGTAATTTCCCTATAACCAGATTAGTGAGAATGCAAAATAAAAGCGGAAAAATAATACCCGAAAATTGATAACGGAGTTCAGCCAATTGTGCTTACGTCTCCGGGCTGCTGCAGATCTTTTACTAAGAGAGAAAATTTACAGGTGTTTACAAAACACTCACTACTCACAAGAAAGCTCTCTAGTATAGGAAGAAAGAAATGTTTTGGGATGATTTTGAAGCTAAATGGGTAAGGGTATTTATAGTAGAAACTTAGGGACTAATCTTTGAAAATACCCTAAAGTGCAATGACTAAAGTGAATTTACCCATTCCTATTTTCAACAAACATCTACCAAAATTTTACCAAACTTTGAAAAACATTTTTCAAAGAAACATTTACCAAACTTTGAAAAAACATTTTCCAAAGTTGGTTGCCAAACTTTGAAACTTTTAACAATCTCTCACTGAAGACTGATTTTAATATGTCTTCACACCTCGATCAATGCAGCAGCATGTCTGGTCTGTTATTCTAGCATGCCAACTGAAGCGAACACAACTTCAGTTGTCCGTTCACCGTCTTTGTCAACATGTCACTAATCTTTTCAAGTTTCAAAATCCATCTTCCAGAAGAGACGGATAAATGATATCTCAATTGTATGTGCTTTGTCCTGGAATGAAAAGACGGATTCTTTGCTAGATGGATAGCACTTGACTGTCGCAATACAAGATATTGTTTTCTTGTTTCTTGCCTAAATCTTCCAAGAAACTTTGGAGCCAAAATACAAGATATTGTTTTCTTGTTTCTTGCCTAACTCTTCCAAGAAACTTTGGAGCCAAACCATCTCCTTGCTGGCTTCCGTAACAGCGACATATTCTGCTTCAGTTGTGGAGAGAGCAACTATCTGTAGTTGAGAAACCCAACTCACTGCAGTTCCTCCTAGAGTATAGACATACCTTGTAGTGCTCCTTCTGATGTCGACATTTCCGGCTAAGTCAGCATCTACATAGCCTGTCAGTATCATATCTCCACCTTTGAAACAAAGTGCTTTGTTTGTGGTACCCGAAGATATCTGAGGATCCATTTGACTGCTTCCCAGTGTACCTTGCCCGGATTATTCATGTACCTGCTAACAGCTCCCACTGCATGAGTAATATCTGGTCTGGTACAAACCATGGCATACATCAGACTTCCAATTGCTGAGGCATACGACACCTTCACCATGTGTGCACGTTCTTCCTCCGTCTTTGGTGATTGGTCTTTGGAGAGTCTGAAATGAACACCTAAAGGTGTACTTACTGGTTTAGCATCTTGCATGTTGAACCTGGAGAGTACTTTGTTGATGTACTCAGCCTGTGATAACATCAAAGTCCCCGACTTGTGTCTCTCTTGATCCTCATCCCAAGAATCTGCTTTGCAGCGCCCAGATCCTTCATAGCAAACTGCTTCGACAATTTTTGCTTCAAGTGTATAATCTCTTGCATGTCTGAGCCTGCAACGAGCATGTCATCAACGTACAATAATAAAATAATGAAGCTGTTGTTGAACCTCTTGATGTAGCAACAATGATCTGCTTGGCATCTGATAAAACCACTGCTACTCATGAAACTATCGAACTTCTTGTACCACTGTCTAGGAGCTTGTTTTAAACCATACAAGCTCTTCTTCAACCTGCATACCAGGTTTTTCTTGTCTGCCTCTATGAAGCCTTCTGGCTGCCTCATATAGATTTCTTCCTCCAAATCACCATGAAGGAAAGCTGTCTTTACATC